GCCACAAAATAGAGCAAAAAACTTATGTCAAAGACCTGGGAGTGATCATGTCGGAGGATCTCACCTTCAAGGACCATAACATTGTATCAATCACATCTGCTAGAAAAATGACAGGATGGATAATGAGAACCTTCAAAACTAGGAATGCCAAGCCCATGATGACACTCTTCAGGTCGCTTGTTCTATCTAGGCTGGAATATTGATGCACACTAACAGCACCTTTCAAGGCAGGTGAAATTGCTGACCTAGAAAATGTACAGAGAACCTTCATGGCGTGCATAACGGAGGTAAAACACCTCAATTACTGGGAGTGCTTGAAGTTCCTGAACCTGTACTCCCTGGAATGCAGGTGGGAGAGATACATGATTATATACACTCTGGAAAATCCTACAGGGACTAGTACCGAACTTGCACACAAAAATCACTCGCTACTAAAGCAAAAGACTCGTCAGACGATGCAACATCCCCCCAATGAAAAACAGGTGTTGCTAGCATGTTAAGAGACAACACACTAAGTGTCAGGGGCCCATGACTGTTCAACTGCCTCCCAGCATACATAAGGGGGATTACCAATAGACCCTTGGCTGTCTTCAAGCAGGAACTGGACAAGCACCTAAAGTTGGTACCTGACCAGCCGGGCTGTGGCTCATACGTTGGATTGCGTGCAGCCAGCAGTAACTGCCTGGTTGATCAGGCTCTGATCCACCATGAGGCCTGGTCACAGACCGGGCCGTGGGGCCGTTGACCCCCGGAACTCTCTCCAGGTAACTCCAGGTAAAAAGACTAACATTAATTGTTAGTTATAAAGAACATGTAGTTACATAATATTGTTCCTCACTTATGATATTGACACTAAAGCCAATTAATTATTTACAAATGCTGATCTACAGTGGTCAGTCGTCATGTGAGGTCACAGACCCTGAGCTGCTTTGGGGATTAGTGTGGATGGTTACAAAGCATGGCTTGCTTTTGCAGTGTTTTAAAATCTGAGGTTGGAGAGTTGAAGGAGGAAGTCTTGCTTCTCCAGGAGGAAATTAGGAGGCTAAAGGTTCACCTCAATGGGTTTGGGAGTGAGTGTGAGGTGGCTGGAATGGTGGAGGGGAATGAGGCTACCAGCAGCGAGGTGCAATCCAGCACCTGCTACAAGTGGCAGGTGGTTCCCAGAAATGGGAAGAGCATCAAAATAAGGAAAGTTAAGAGAGAAGATTTGAAGGTAGGAAATCGCTTCTCTGTTCTTCAGGATGAGTGTACTTCAGTGGCCAGTGAAAGTAAAGGTACTACTTCCCCTGCAAATAGAGGTAAGCAAATCCTTGTGGTTGGTGACTCACAGGTAAGATATATGGACTGTGCTTTCTGTAATAGGAATAAGAAGGTAAGAGATAGTGTGCTTCCCAGGAGCTGGTGTTAGTGACATAGTCAACAGGTTGGATAATATCATGTCAGGTAATGGGAACAAGCCTATTATCTGTCTCAGTGCTGGTGGAAATGATATTGGGAAGGGTAGGAGAAAAGAGCTGCTAGTAAAGTACAGGTCAGCTATAGATTTAATTAAGTCTAAGGGAGGGGTCCTAATCATATGTAGCATCTTGCCTAGAAGGGAAGTGGGCAATGAATGGTTGTCTAGGGCAATTGGTGTAAATTGCTGGCTAGACAGATACTGCAAGGAACTTACAATTCCATTCATTGACAACTGGCAAACAGGATATGTATGCAAGGGATGGGGTTCATTTCTCTGGGGCAAGGGTGGTAGCACTTGCAAACTCAATCGAGAGGGACATTGCTGAAATGCCTAGGATTTTAAACTGATAGAAGATAGAGGTATGGGTGTGTGTGTGTGTGTGGGAAACAGGCAGGTTGCAACACTAGGGTTGAAAAAAGTAAATGTATGAAAGACATTCATCATGAAGTTATAAATAAAGACAATAGATCAGGTCAGCAAACAAAGGGACACAGCAGAGAGCAGTAAGGGACTAGCTCCCTTAACCCTTAAACGGTCCAAAGAGATTGACATTCAAATTCGTAGTGCTACAAAAGTAGATCTACTTTTTTTTACATATTTTCAAATATAACAAAAAAAAAATGTAGATGAAAGTTTTTTTTTACACGTTTTCAAATGTAAAACAAAAAAGAAGATCTACATTTTTTTACATACTTTCAGATGTTGAAAAAACGTATATATACGTTTGGACCATTTAAGGGTTAAGGTTTACTATACTAATAGCAGGAGTGTAAGAAATAAGATAGATAAGCTAAGATTAATTGCAAGTGCAGGAAACATAGATATTATTGCTATAACAGAGACCTGGCTCAATCTGAAAGGTAGAGAGGTGTCTGAATGTCACATACAAGGCTACAAATTATTCCACACTGACAGGGTCAACAGGAAGGGTGGTGGAGTAGCAATGTATGTCAGAGACAATTTAAATTGTTGCATAACCAAACTGAATCTGTTTGGTTACAGCTTCTCGAGGACCATGAAAAGCTAATTTTGGGTGTGATTGACAGGCCCCCAAATCTTGATAGGGAGTGCAGTAAACTTCTAGGCGACGAAATTCGTAAGGCATCTACATACATCTACATGTTGTGCTAATGGGAGATTTCAACTATAGACAGATTGACTGGAGCAATTTGACAGGAAATTTAGTCAAGTGACTTTCTTGATACGATTCAGGATTGTTTTTTAAAACAGTTTGTGACAGAACCAACTAGAGGAAATAACCTGCTTGACTTGGTTCTTGCCAGCAGGGAAATGCTAATTAATAATCTTGAGGTTAATGATGAGCTTGGGGAAAGTGATCACAAATCACTCAATTTTAATATATCATGGAATTTCCCTAATAATGGCAATCAAGTCTCTCTCCCTGACTTCCACTTGGCTGATTTCATACGACTGAAAAATTACTTGGGTGAGCTAAACTGGAATGACCTGACTGTGGGTCAGGTAGGTGGTGATGATTGCCGATATGATGTTTTCCAGGGCATAGTTCTAGCTGCTCAGACAACTTATGTTCCAAATAGGGAAATCAGATCAAACAAAAATGATCCTAAATGGATGAACAATAGACTAAAACATCTCATTGGTCAAAAGAGAGGCATATATAGGCAAATCAAAAGAGGAGAGGGGCAATTAAGAAATCAATATATTCAGCTAAATAGAGAAATAAAAAGGGGAATAAGAAAAGCAAAAGGAGATTGAGGTTAAAGTTGCGAGAGAATCGAAGACTAACCCAAAAGGATTCTTTCATGTATACAGAAGCAAGATCAGGGACAAGATAGGCCCACTCAAAAGTTACTCGCGTTAGCTCATGGACAGTGATAAGGAGATTTGTAGAATTTTTAACACATACTTCCTCTGAGTTTTTACACAGGAAGATACTAGTGATATTCCAGAAGTAATAAATTATGTAGAACAGGACGATAATAAACTATGTTCGATTAGGGTCACAAGTGACATGGTCCTTAGGCAAATAGATAAATTAAAACATAACAAATTCACAGGCCCTGATGAACTGTATGCAAGGGTTCTAAAGGAATGTAAAGAGGAGCTTAGCAAACCTTTGGCTAATCTTTTCAACATACCACTGCAGACTGGCATTGTGCCAGATAAGTGGAAAATGGCAAATGTGATACCTGTTTTCAAAGCAGGTACAGTAACAGGTCCTTAGCTTTGAACTATAGACCAGTAAGCCTAACCTCTATAGTGGGAAAATTTATGGAATCAATAATTGCTGAGGCAGTTCGTAGCCACCTTGAAAAGCATAATTGATCAACGAATCTCAGCATGGTGTTACAAAGGGGCGTTCCTCCCTTACGAATTTATTAACTTTTTTCATTAAGGTATTTGAGGAGGTAGATCATGGTAATGAATATGATATTGTGTATATGGACTTCAGTAAGGCTTTTGGCAGGGTCCCACATCAGAGACTATTGAGGAAAATTAAGGCACATAGAATAGGAGGAGAAATTTTTTCCTGGATAGAGGCATGGTCGACAAATAGGCAGCAGAGAGTTTGCTTAAATGGGGAGAAATCAGAGTTGGGAAGCGTCATGAGCAGTGTTCCACAGGGGTCAGTGTTGGGCTCCCTGTTGTTCACAATCTACATAAACGACACTGAAGGCATAAAGAGCGATTTAAGCAAGTTTGCCGATGATGCCAAAATTGGCCATCAAATTCATTCTGACAAGGACAGAGCACTCCAGGAAGATTTGAATAGACTGATGCAGTGGTCGGAGAAGTGGCAGATGCAGTTTTATATAGACAAATGCAAAGTTCTAAATGTTGGACAGGAAAATAACCATGCCACATATAAACTAAATAATGTAGATCTTAGTATTACAGATTGCGAAAAAGATTTAGGAGTTCTGGTTAGCAGTAATTTGAAACCAAGACAACAGCGCATAAGTGTTTGCAGTAAAGCTAACAGAATCCTTGGCTTCATATCAAGAAGCATAAATAATAGGAGTCCTCAGGTTGTTCTTCAACTCTATATATCCTTGGTTAGGCCTCATTTAGATTATGCTGCACAGTTTTGGTCACCGTATTACAGAATGGATATAAATGCTCTGGAAAATGTACAGAGGAGGATGACAAAATTGTTCCCATGTATCAGAAATCTTTCCTATGAGAATAGACTGAGGGCCCTGAATCTGCATTATCTAGAAAGGCATAGAATTAGGGGGGATATGACTGAGGTGTATAAATGGAAGACAGGAATAATTAAAGGGGATGTAAATAGCGTGCTGAAAATATCTAGCCTAGACAGGACTCGCAGCAATGGTTTAAAGTTGGAAAAATTCAGATTCAGGAAGGATATAGGAAAGCACTGGTTTGGTAATAGAGTTGTGGATGAGTGGAACAAACTCCCGAGTGCAGTTAGAGGCTAAAACGTTGTGTAGTTTTAAGAACAGGTTAGATAAATACATGAGTGGGTGTGGGTGGGTGTGAGTTGGACCTCATTAGCTTGTGCTACTAGGTCAGTTGTGTTCCTTAAGTGAATGTGACCTGACCTGACTAGGTTGGGGCATTGGCTTAAGCTGGTAGGAGACTTGGACCTGCCTCGCATGGGCCAGTAGGCCTACTGCAGTGTTCTTTCTTTCTTATCTTCTTAAATACAATATACAAACAAAAATTATTGTAAATATATAGTTTTTCATTTTTCCAATTCATTCATAATTTGTATATGCTCATTATATCTAGAAAGAGCTTACATTTGTTTAATAGACTGGTGAAAAACTGTGCCCACGATAGTTTTAATAATTAATGCGTAATTTTCTTAAGGTTGAATTATAAACAGTGGCCCCTAGAGTTATATTTGTTTGTTTTAGAAGGTGTATTGTATCTCCAAAATAAAACTCAAACCTGAAAATACATGGTTTTATAGTAAATTCATTCCATGATGCCAGAACATGCCCAACCTTCCCATATGTTATTAGTAACACGTGTAAATTACCTAGGATAACCTCAAAAAAAATCAAAGTGACTTACTTCCACTGGGAGACAAGCTTAAACATAATTTTGCATGTCAGTATTAAGGGCTTTGCCCAGGGCCTGTATAAAAGATTCTCTACTCACATCCACAGTGATGGGCATTTTTGAAAACAATACTCCCAGAAACACATCACTGGATGTAAGCAGAGGATCTCTTATACAGGCTCTACAAGTTTCATATTAAAAAATCCCATGTCACAGGTTAAGAGTTTTGTCTCAGTGCTCTAAACTTTGAGTATCCTTCTTATGGTGTTCAACTGCCATTGGTAACACCCTGGCATTTGTTTACTGTTAGGTTAAGAAGAATTTCTCGTAAATCTCAGTCCTTTACTGATTTCATGCTGGTATATGTGCATTCATGTATGGAATTAATTACCTACCTGTATATGAGAGTACATTTTTTGTGATAGCCTATTTGTAACTGCAGTAGAGCTGTGTAGGTGCCCCTTGTTTTATATGATTGGTGGGTTCCTGGCTGGTAGAGCATAAAGCAGATTCATATAAAGTAGATCAGTATTAATGACTAAGACGTAGTGATTTGTTAAAAGACTTTACAGGTTCCACATTTTTTAATAATGTTTACCAAATATTTGAGCTTAGTACCCATGTACCAAATGGTTATAAACAAAAACAAAATGAATTTTGTAAAAAAAAAAAATGAAAAAATAACATATTTCAATTATAATCTCTATACATATACATATGTGGCAGATGTTGCAGGTGTATGGTGTAGGAGGTAGGTTACTGAAAGCAGTGAAGAGTTTTTATGAGGATATTGAGGCTCAAGTTAGAGTATGTAGGAAAGAGGGAAATTATTTCCTAGTAAAAGTAGGCCTTAGACAAGGATGTGTGATGTCACCGTGGTTGTTTAATATATTTATAGATGGGGTTGTAAGAGAAGTAAATGCGAGGGTCTTGGCAAGAGGCGTGGAGTTAAAAGATAAAGAATCACACATAAAGTGGGAGTTGTCACAGTTGCTCTTTGCTGATGACACTCTGCTCTTGGGAGATTCTGAAGAGAAGCTGCAGAGATTGGTGGATGAATTTGGTAGGGTATGCAAAAGAAGAAAATTAAATGTGAATGCAGGAAAGAGTAAGGTTATGAGGATAACAAAAAGATTAGGTGATGAAAGATTGGATATCAGATTGGAGGGAGAGAGTATGGAGGAGATGAATGTATTCAGATATTTGGGAGTGGACGTGTCAGCGGATGGGTCTATGAAAGATGAGGTGAATCATAGAATTGATGAGGGGGAAAAGGGTGAGTGGTGCACTTAGGAGTCTGTGGAGACAAAGAACTTTGTCCTTGGAGGCAAAGAGGGGAATGTATGAGAGTATAGTTTTACCAATGCTCTTATATGGGTGTGAAGCATGGGTGATGAATGTTGCAGCGAGGAGAAGGCTGGAGGCAGTGGAGATGTCATGTCTGAGGGCAATGTGTGGTGTGAATATAATGCAGAGAATTCGTAGTTTGGAAGTTAGGAGGAGGTGCGGGATTACCAAAACTGTTGTCCAGAGGGCTGAGGAAGGGTTGTTGAGGTGGTTCGGACATGTAGAGAGAATGGAGCGAAACAGAATGACTTCAAGAGTGTATCAGTCTGTAGTGGAAGGAAGGCGGGGTAGGGGTCGGCCTAGGAAAGGCTGGAGGGAGGGGGTAAAGGAGGTTTTGTGTGCGAGGGGCTTGGACTTCCAGCAGGCATGCGTGAGCGTGTTTGATGGGAGTGAATGGAGACAAATGGTTTTTAATACTTGACGTGCTGTTGGAGTGTGAGCAAAGTAACATTTATGAAGGGGCTCAGGGAAACCGGCAGGCCGGACTTGAGTCCTGGAGATGGGAAGTACAGTGCCTGCACTCTGAAGGAGGGGTGCTAATGTTGCAGTTTAAAAACTGTAGTGTGAAGCACCCTTCTGGCAAGACAGTGATGGAGTGAATGATGATGAAAGTTTTTCTTTTTCAGGCCACCCTGCCCTGGTGGGAATCGGCCAGTGTGATAATAAAAATAATAATATAATAAAATATATAATACAAAATTAGGGAAAAAATCCACATTTCGTTACTTATTTTTATTAGAATTATGAGTATACAAGATAGGTGCCAAACAGCCATGTACCAAAAATGAATGGGATTAAATAAATGAGAAATCCAATTAAAAATTGGATCATAATCATCTTCCCTTTTACCTCCCTCTTCCCTTCACCACCAGCCAACCAGCCTGTCTGTCTGGGTTGAAGTACTATACACTTGATTAGTCAATTTATGAATGTATATTTTCCAACTACTATTTTAGCCGTTTCTTTGTCCCTAGTCTACATTTGTTATCATTGCAACTCTTCTTCTGGCAGGGTGTTCATTTTCTTTTGACTTTGTTTAAGAAACTTAAATTGACAACCAACATGGGATTTCATTCTATAAGGTGTTATGAGTGTCAATATTAATTAGTTTAATATTGATAAGAGACATTTTGAAAATGTCTCTATAAATTCAAGAGATTTTCAAAATATCAGTTGGTGCTGGAGTTGGGCAATTGTATGCAGGCAGGCCCCACTTTACAGCATTTCACTAATATACAGCAGTTTCCAGGTATACGCATTTTTCATTTATTATGACGTCCTACAATAAATAGATTCTTCACTCTAAGCTAAGGACAAAAATATTTTAAGGCCAATAATGTGTGTATTGTATATGCATTTTTTAGGCCTAGCTACTCTGCTCACTTAACCCTTTGACTGTTGCGGCCGTATATGTACGTCTTACGAGGTACTGTGATTGACGTATATATACTCATAAATTCTAGCGGCTTCAAATCAAGCAGGAGAAAGCTGGTAGGCCCACATGTGAGAGAATGGGTCTGTGTGGTCAGTGTGCACCATATAAAAAAAACCCTGGAGCATGCAGTGCATAATGAGAAAAAAAAAACTCCGACCGTTTTTTTTAATTAAAATGCCAACTTTGTGGTCTATTTTCGTATAGTATTTATGGTTGTATTCTCATTTTCTTGGTCTCATTTGATAGAATGGAAAACATATTATAGAAATAGATGTGATTTTGATTGATTTTACTATAAAAAGAACCTAGAATTGGAGCTCAAAGTAGGGGAAATGTTTGATTTTTGCCAATGTTCAAAAGTAAACAAATGATGCCATTTTCCAATAAATGTCCAATTAGCCATTCTAATATGCAGTCACGAATGGGTTGATGTTATTTATACAATTATTACAGTATTGCAGTAGTCTGCATAATAGTAAGTCTTCTATTTTTTGTTTGAATAAAAATTCAAAATAGAAAGCAAGAATAATATCAGAGGGGACTGGAGATGTGACTGATGAACAAAGAAAATGTTATTTTAGAGCCAGGAATGTCTGCATTGTTCATTCTGGACCTTATTTTGAAATTGTCATATTTTTTAGTTTTCGTGAAATTGGCCAAATTCTAAATTTCTGACCACATTATTAGGTAGTTGAAATCGGTAAATGGGCAGTTTCTTGTACTCAATCGATAGAAAAAATGGAGTTCTAAAGAAATAGCTATGAGTTTGGGCGACTGGAACAATGGAATTAGCTGAAAATAGGGCTCAAAGTTGGCGAAATCGCCGATTTGTAAACATCGCTGAGGTCGCTAACTTCGCGAGAGCATAATTCCGTCAGTTTTCCATCAAATTTCGTTTTCTTGGTGTCATTACAATCGGGAAAAGATTCTCTATCATTTCATAAGAAAAAATAATTTTTTTTTTCTTTTTAAATTTTGCGACACCAGGAGACACCTCAGGATTGGGGGTTGCGACAGTCAAAGGGTTAATATATGATAGTGTAAACATGTTATCAGGCTTTTATTTTCGTTTGAAAGTGAAAAATGGCTATGATTCCCTTTACAGTGATTTTTGCTATACAGCGGTAGCCCAGAACCTAACCTGCTGTGTAAGTGGGGCCCTCTTGTATTAGCAAAAGAGTATAGTGACCATCTGCTTGGTTGCATAAGAATGCATTTTCTCAGCATGTAGTGAATTCCTGGTAGAAATTGGGCCACTGCATATAGGTGATTGTGCATGATGTGAGAAAAATCTTTGTAGTACTTGTATAGTGTCCTATCCAAAATATTTTATGAAACTTTCTTGACTTCTCATAATTTTAGCATAATGGCAAGATGGCAGGGAGACACTGCGATTCTTCCAAATACATCTTTTTCTTCTGGGCCCTTGAATCTTCCTCGTGGACTTGATGTGCTCTCTAATATTCCAATAGCAACGTTTAGGGTGAGTTTACAGTACTGTGCCTAGTTTTGTAGTTATGTTTGTAATGGTGCAAATATTGTAAAATATTTTTTAATTAGTGGGTGCAGTATTATGTTTGTCCTGTTCTATTTATAGACTAGTAAACCGTAGCACAGTATAGTAATTGTATTCAACCTTTAGAAAAGCAACCCATTAATATTTATAGTATTTATAAATGCAAATATCTCTATATTCTGTGGCAGAATCAAACATATCTAGCTTTCTTATCCTGGCTACAAGGCACTGAACCCCAGTACTATAACCCTATTTGTTTATGAGGTAAAAATCCTTAAATACTGTTTGATATTTGTCAGTCTTAACCACACAAGTAGATGTATGTACTGTATTTGCACTGTTCATGAGTAATATTCTCTTTCGTATGTAAGGGGAAGTCCTTATTAATTATTTTCTTTCAGCATTTCTTCTCTGCATTAAGAATTATTTATTTTAATGGTTAAGTTAAATTACAAAACTGTATACTATACAATTTTAATGCTGTGTACACTGCCCACAATAATAATCAGGACCTCCCTTTTATTATTGTGAAAACTGTTAAAAAGCAACAACATAAACATAGAACAAAAACTGCAATACAGTATGCACCTGGTACTTCCTTTAATACTGTATTGTATCGTCTCCCCCTGGACCTTGATGACCATTTGAAGCCGTTTGGGCATACTGTCACTCAGATTCCAGAAGAAATCTGTGAATAACTGGTTGACCCAAATGTCTTTGATCTGCTGCTGCAGGCACAACATGAATGAAATGTGGCAGGATTCCATCTTTATCATGGTATTCCAGGTATTCTCAATAGGATTGAGGCGTGGACTATTCCCTGTTCACTAATACCTCAATATTTTCCTCAGCAAGACACTTGGCTACTTTTTTGGCCTTGTGACTTTCCTCCATTTTAAACAGTATACGGCAGTCCAGATTCATTTTGCATATTTGATGCTATACTTCATCTGAAGAGGGCACTATATAAATCTGGGTTGGAAGAAAGGAGGAGTTGGGGTTGTATTAGGAAGGGTTGGAGGTGGGGGTAAAGGAGGTTTTTGAGTGGTAAGGGCTTCAACATCTAGCAGGCCAGCCAGCGAGCCATTATTGTCATGGTCTGCTGGGTAAATTGATTTCAGTTTTTAACAAAGTCTGTTAAATCCAAATTTGTTTGTTAGTGTTATGATAATGAAAACAGTCTAGTTACTCAGATTTAACATATATTTAACACTGATGGACACCCTTTCTCTCTTATTAGCCTGTTGAAGTTTTGCTGTAATTTTTTTTAATTTAACCAAATTCCTTGAAATTTTGCATATTCTTTAGTATGGAGGTGTAGTAGTGGTGGGGTTCTATTTGCTTGGTGTGATTTTGCTGAGAAATGTCTTGTAATAAAGTATTTCTAAAGTTCAGAGTTTTTCTTAGTTATGTAGTCAAATACATTTATCTTTGCTATCAAACATGGTTAATTGGTGTATACACATGGTAATTTTAAATTTGCTTGGTTAAGTTTTGTCAAAAAAGTGGATTTTTAAATTACACATTTTGTGAAAGGTACATATGCTCTGAAAGCCAATAAGTATAGACAGAGAAGGAGCAGTGAGCATGGGGAAGTGGGGAACTCAGTTGTTTATGACTAGTCATTTTGTGGTTAGTCAGTGGTCCAAGCTAGACATTTGTTTCAGTCTTCTGTGTATGGGTTATTTGTGTGTTAGTCCAGTCACTAAACCCATATGGATCAAAACCATCTACAGAAAGTAGTTTTTCACACCTCAAAATGTTGTATTCTGTGTTTGTTTCATGAACCAATATAGATCACCACCAGAACCATATTTTATGGAGTACCAGAAGGTGGGAGGCCAAAAGTTCTGTAGCACTGAGCAGGGAATCTCTCAGCCTATGTTCTGGGCAGTTTTTTGAAAATTTAATTACTAGAAAGACTAATTGATGAGATTGTAAAAATGATGATCTTTTGTTACAGGCTTTGGGCAAAGCCATGCATCCTAGGTTAAGGCTTGGCTTAAGCTCTTCCTTGCTGTATCAAGCACTTTGTAATGATATCCTTAGGCACCTATGATTATCAGAATTTTGAGAATGAAGAAGTTTGGTCAGGTGGTTTGTCAAATTGTCCTTCAGGAATGTTTCATACATTGGCTCAGAAATCGACGGTACCAGACTCGTACATTTGTGACTCACTCTAGGGCACATTAAATGTCGTATTTTACGTTAGTGTAGACATTTTCATTAATCCATCTATGATATTTTCTTCAAAATTATACTATAAGAAACACATTACATAGCATATAAACATGCAATATTTATATGCTATTGAGGGGTTGGTGGACGGAAAACATTACGTTTTCTCTGGTTCAGTATTAGAGAAAACTGTATGAATCTGCGTCTGGCCATCGCTCCCCCACTCTGCTTTTGTTTACAATTCTCGGCATGAATTATTCATTACTTCTCCCTTTGTTTGTGATGGCATCTAAAGGTAATTGTTAGAAACGATTAAACTCAGTGAACATGGTATGTTGATGGTAATAATATTGGCTGTAGACCGCAGTGTATGTAGCTGGTAGGTATAGCGTGGGCTGTAGTCCCTCTGGGGCTACAAATAAATACTACTCGCCAACAAGAGTCTTCAATAAAGATGTAATGTTCATTTATCATTAAAATTAGTCCTTTATATTTATTTCTCATTGTTTTCTGTATGTAAAACTATAGTTATTCTCTATAAAATGTAATTTTTGTTAATACGTATTTTTGGGTGTCTGAAACAAATTAATTGGATTTACATTACAGTGGACCCCCTGTTATCGTAATTAATTCATTCCAGAGAGTGTGACTAAAGCTGAATTTGACGATGTCTGAATTAATTATCCCCATGAGAAATAATGTACATAAATCCAGTTAATCTGTTCCAGACACCCAAAAGTATTAAAAAAAATTTTTTTACATGAAATATACATTTACCTACACAGAAAACAATGAGACATGAAGAATAAAACAGTAATATGACACTTACCTTTATTGAAGATTCTACTTAGTATATGGAAGATGGGAGGAAGGGTGAGGATGGAGGAGTTACTATTGTTTGGAAGGGGGAATCCCCTTCCTTAAAGACTTCCAGTACCAAGTCCTTTTCTGGGGTTACTTCCCTTCTTTGTGTTTTTAATGCCACTAGGACCAGCTTGAGTCATTGCACACCTGTGGCACTAAATATCTGTCCAGAGAGCTCTGTTCCTGGCGGTCATTGTACATGTTGCCGACACGGCTTGCAACAGCTTTGTTAGGGTGATGGTCTTCCACAAATCTTTCCATCCTACTCCACATTGCACAAATCTCCATCACTACCACCATCACTACCACCCTCTACCACCATCACAATCACTACCACCCTCTACCACAATCACTACACCCTCTACCACAATCACTACCACCCTCTACCACAATCACTACCACCCTCTACCACAATCACTACCACCCTCTACCACAATCACTACCACCCTCTACCACAATCACTACCACCCTCTACCACAATCACTACCACCCTCTACCACAATCACTACCACCCTCTACCACAATCACTACCACCCTCTACCACAATCACTACCACCCTCTACCACAATCACTACCACCCTCTACCACAATCACTACCACCATCACAACCACCCTCTACCACCATCACAACTGCCCTCTACCACCATCACAACCACCCTCTACCACCATCACAACCACCCTCTACCACCATCACAACCACTACCACCCTCTACCACCATCACAACCACTACCAGCCTCTACCACTATCACTACCACCACCACTTTCGTATTTTTCTTCAGTCTTTTTCTTTAATTCTATCGTGTTTGTCACATTCTTTACCAAAGGGCTGGCACTAGCTTTCTTTGGGCCCATGATGGCTTATTTAGCAGTTGCAAGCACTAAAACGAATGGAATATTACAAAATGTATCGTATGAACCCGTGGGATCGTGCTCACTCGCTGATGAACCATGGCACACTGACTGTGGCCGCGTCGGGGCTGCTTGTACATGTTTGAGATGAACGACTATTACTGAGGTAAATGACGATCACCAAGCCAATAATTTGATGAAAAGACGTTATGATTACTGAATACAGTGGACCCCCGCATAACTATCACCTCCGAATGCGACCAATTATGTAAGTGTATTTATGTAAGTGCGTTTGTACGTGTATGTTTGGGGGTCTGAAATGGACTAATCTACTTCACAATACAGTGGACCCCCGCATAACGATTACCTCCGAATGCGACCAATTATGTAAGTGTATTTATGTAAGTGCGTTTGTACGTGTATGTTTGGGGGTCTGAAAGGAATAATCTACTTCACAATATTCCTTATGGGAATAAATTCGGTCAGTACTGGCACCTGAACATACTTATGGAGTGAAAAAATATCGTTAACCGGGGGTCCACTGTATTCCTTATGGGAACAGATTCGGTCAGTACTGGCACCTGAACATATCGTTAACTGGGGGTCCACTGTATTACGAAATCTGACGACTACAATATTCAGGGGGTCCACTGCATTTCTTATGGGAAATATTACTTTGGTTTTCGTCCATTTCAGATTTAGGCCAACCTTCTGGAACGGATTAATAACGAAAACTGGGGGTCTGCTGTACTAATGTGAGGTAGTCAAGGTGGAGGTTTATAAAAATCATCTTGAAGTTGCACATAGTAAAAGCAATATTACAATTAATGGTTCAAGCAGTAATATTTCATGGATTGGCAGATGTTTAAAAAGACTAGAGGTCATATAATATAATAGCTGATTAGAAGTTGTTTTGGTTGATTTGGTGAGTATTGAGAGATGAGATGATTTTTAAGCAAAGTCCTAAATTTTTAAGTAGTCAGGGGGATCATTTACCGGTTCAGGTACTGATCCAGATCTTCGGGCCCGTTATGTGCATTGCGTTTTTGCATAGTGTGAGACTGAAGAGTGTTGAAGAGTGCCTTATGATTGTATTGTGACTGTGCGTTCTGTTGTAATTATCAAGAAGTTTAAGTGGAGGGTTTATAGTGGAGTTTAATGTTCTGTATATGTAGTAGGCACATTAATATGAGTATGTCTCGTTTACAAAGCAAGTTCAGGCTTTTGAAAAGTGGTGGGGTGTGCTGTCTAGCATAGGAGCTGGTAATCATCTGCACAGCAGGTTTTTGCTGGGTTATTTAAGGTTTAAGGTGGTTGACTGTGGTTGATCCCCAGGCACAAATGCCATAGGTGAGGTATGGATAAGTTAGAGTGGTATAGGGTAAGGACTGTCGTTTTCTTTTATTTCCTGTACCTAAAACAATGCATGTTAGTCAGTTGATTACTCAGTCTCTCATTCTTCATTGTGGATTTTCCTAAATTTGTTTTATTTTCAGCCATGGTTCCCAACACCTGCCTGCCAGGATATTATACTCCTTGCAGAATTTTCGGAAATAGAGGGGCCTATACCACTTGTAACAATACCGCAGTCACCTTCACTACAACTGGATCTTAATGAATTTGTTGTAAAAGTTTTCTCTACTGACTATTTGAATACAAGGTAAATGTTACTGCAATACTGGTCACTCAATTTCTACCATACATTGCGTTACAATTTGGAGATACTTTGTTACCAAGATTTTTTTCAGAAGGGTTTCTTCCTTTTGTACGTCCTGAGATTTCAGTGGTTTATTAGTAAAATTCATTTTATTGAATATACTGTCTTTTAAAATTTTTTTGGGGGATTGAGTTGATTTGATGCTTATAAAAATGTTCTTTATGCAAAGAATTTGAGCTACCATCTTCATCAGATCAGATCATATCTGATTACCTCCTATTTCTCATTCATGATATGACCCATGTGGATTTAGTGCTTACCTATGAATATAAAAATAACAGATGTAGAGTTCTGTTTTTTCTCCCTTTTGCCTTTGACAGGTATGAAATTTAAAACTGGAAATAATTTTAAAGTCTAGTGCAGATGCTGTGTATGAACTTTCATAACTGTACTGTATATTATGAGAAATTCATTGTTTCACATTGACTACTGAATTAAATTAACAAACTTTTTAACACAGTCCAGTTTTAAACTATTGCATTGTACGTGACTGTCTTAACATTTTTAATTTTTTGCCAGTATAATTGAACCAATGTCATGGCATAGTTGCCCATTGGTTGCTGGAACATGAGGGGTGAAAGGGGGATATTTTGACATTTGAATCCTGGAGTAGTTGCAGTTTGAGTCTGGCACTGAACCAAGCTGACAGTGCTCTGTATGTAGATCTTTGGTCACAAGAAGAATGTTAAGCCTTATGTTACTTTGCCAGTACAGTACTTCAGGGGCCAGAAGTTTGGTCACCAATGGACCAAGTGTAATCCAACTAAAGTTACCCAAAATGCTTGAGCTGCATGTGGTACTGACTTAAACTTTTAGAGATCTCAGTCCAAAGTTTCTACTGGAGTTTTTAAAGGGGGATTATAAGAGTGCTCCATAGCTGGGTGCTTTCTTAACCAGAGGAAAGAATAACTACCAGGAGTAAAATTCCCTTGCTTGACGTCACTTTGGAATGAGTGGGAGTCTGTGAGACACAAATGACTACAAGATAATTCTGTGTAGGAATACTAAACACTTCAGGTTTATAAAACATCCTACCAGACTACATAAATAAATAATTCATGGACAGATAATATTATAGAGCAAAGCATCTTTATTTTAGCTATTATTAAAGATACCAATAATATAATATTCAGTAAAAAAAGCCAAAATTACACATTAATCAAATGATCCTTATTAAATTGTGAACAAAGGGTGTAACAGTGACATTGCCCATTCCTATACTAAAGTCTTGCAGTGTCACAACTGTAGAAGCTTCCAGGACTAGTGTGATACAAGAGGGAGAGTATACTGTTGCTGCTCTGTTTCATAGGGAAAATGGGTTTTGCTGAAACCAATAGGGAGGGCATACCTCCTGCATCATGATAGATCCTGTGTGACTATTGCATCTAGTCATAGGGTACTAGCTATTGTAGAGTGGTCCTCAGCAGAACAGAGCCTTCCCATCCTTTTCAGGGCTCATCCTTCCCTGCCTTTGGGCACCTTGTGGATGGCTCCACCACCTGTCAAGGGAACCACTGGCTGTGCCTACCAACCTCCAGGTGGTGTGGAGACTGGCAAGGAGTGCATATCAAAGGAAAGGGAGCTGGAGGAAGGTATAGATGAGAGGGAGGAGCATCCTGCTTCATCAAAGGGTTATCTATAATCTACCTCTGATAAAGTGACTTCCACTGTCACCACTGCTACTGCCTCCCTGATCCACCAGGAGGCCTGATCGTGGACCGGGCTGTTGGGGTATTGATCCCCAGAATACCCTCCAGGTAGAGTCCAGGTGCTGCTGAGACTAACTTCTCTGGGGTGTGTGGGCATGGAAGTCATCATCCATTACCTCTTTCCCCTTTCCCTGGACAAATCTGGGCTCACAGCTACTAATCCACCACTAGTGCTCCATGGGATGTTGGAGCCTCACATGAAATGAAAAACTACTTCTGTGTCCTCTAGCAATGGAAAGGCCCAGGAAAAAGTAGTAGTAGTATCAAAGCATACAGATGAAGGCTGGTCCTCTGCCTCTAGAAAGGACAGTGTGTCGAATGCTTCACTGTTTTTTAAGGGGTGTAGGCCATTCTCAGATGAAGGATGCAAATTCCTCCTAAGCAATTTCAGGAGTGCCAGTCATTTGTCTCCAGCTGGGACAGTGCACTGGATGCCTCACTTTGTAGGGGTAAATTGTCTCATAACCACTCAATGGCTTTTGGTTCCTTGACCTCTAAAGTGACCTCCTTCCTGTGAAAGAGACCACTTCCCAGAGAATCTGGTCCTTTCCAACTGGCTTGAGGTTTTGGAAGTCTGACATGTTGCAGGCCGTGCATCTGTGACCCAGTGCCTAGTTGTGAAAGTAAAACATGCTGGCTCTGTTGGTGTCCTCTTCATGGACATTACCAAAGAGATGTCTACTTAGCCATTCCTTAGCTTAATGTATCCTCTCATCAACAGAACTGTCAGGGCATTAGGCCTCACAGTGAAGACATTCATGACCTTTCTTGGGTCTATGACCTATTAGTTCTACATTCTCAGGAGACTAAACTCAGGGCATTTTGATTGTTCCTGGGATCCAAGTTTTCTCTCTGTGCCAACATTCCCTCCTGGCACACTTGCCAAGGGAAGGTGCATCTATCTTATTACATGCAGCTATTTATTACACTCAGTTCACCTGCTCTCCTCCCTGTAGGCTGCGGCCATCCGAGTGAGCTCGCCTGGGGCTCTGACCGAGTTCCTTTTACCTTCCTCCTGATTGGGTTTTAGACTGCTTTGCTCTTGCTGATTTTATCTGAGTTTCCTTGCTCATTCTTCTTCCAAGGTAATTTTAACCCTTTGACTGTCGCGGCCGTATATATACGTCTTACGAGGTACCATGTTTGACTTATATATACTCATAAATTCTAGCGGCTTCAAATCAAGCAGGAGAAAGCTGGTAGGCCCACACGTGAGAGAATGGGTCTGTGTGGTCAGTGTGCACCATATAAAAAAATCCTGGAGCACGCAGTGCATAATGAGAAAAAAAAAACTCCAACCGTTTTTTTTTAATTAAAATGCCGACTTTGTGGTCTATTTTCATATAGTATTTATGGTTGTATTCTCGTTTTCTTGGTCTCATTTGATAGAATGGAAAACATATTATAGAAATAGAGGTGATTTTGATTGATTTTACTATAAAAAGAACCTAGAAATGGAGCTCAAAGTAGGGGAAACGTTTGATTTTTGCCAATGTTCAAAAGTAAACAAATGATGCCATTGTCCAATAAATGTTCAACTAGCCATTCTAATATGCAGTCATGAATGGGTTGATGTTATTTATACAATTATTACAGTATTGCAGTAGTCTGCATAATAGTAAGTCTTCTATTTTTTGTTTGAATAAAAATTCAAAATAGAAAGCAAGAGTAATATCAGAGGGGCCTGGAGACATGACTGATGAACAAAGAAAATGTTATTTTAGAGCCAGGAATGTCTGTATTGTTCATTCTGGACCTTATTTTGAAATTGTCATATTTTTTAGTTTTCGTGAAACTGGCCAAATTGCAAATTTCTGACCACATTATTAGGTAGTTGAAATCGGTAAATGGGCAGTTTCTTGTACTCAATCAATAGAAAAAATGGAGTTCTAAAGAAATAGCTATGAGTTTGGGCGACTGGAACAATGGAATTAGCCGAAAATAGGGCTCAAAGTTGGTGAAATCACCGATTTGTAAACAGCGCCGAGGTTGCTAACTTCGCGAGAGCATAATTCCGTCAGTTTTCCATCAAATTTCGTTTTTTTGGTGTCATTACAATCGGGAAAAGATTCTCTATCATTTCATAAGAAAAATAATTTTTTTTTTTTTTTAAATTTTGCGACACCAGGAGACACCTCAGGATTGGGGGTTGCGACAGTCAAAGGGTTAATGCCCATATGTGGCCCGGTGGCCTGGTGGCTAAAGCTCCTGCTTAACACACGGAGGGCCCGGGTTTGATTCCCAGCGGGTGGAAACATTTCGATACGTTTCTTTACACCTGTTGTCCTGTTCACCTAGCAATAAGTAGGTACCTGGGTGTTAGTCGACTGGTGTGGGTTGCATCCTGGGGGACAAGATTGAGGACCCCAATGGAAATAAGTCAGACAGTCCTTGATGACACACTGACTTTCTTGGGTTATCCGGTGGCAAACCCTCCGGGGTTAAAAATCCGAACAAAATCTTATATTGGAATTGGATTGCTCTGTGCTGGACATAAGGGGTATTGCTCTACAGACCTTGCTGACTGAGTAGTATTGTAACATCCTGAACAATGAGCTCTGAATCTGTTCTAATATTCATGTAGAAGCCTTCTCAAGCATTGACATTTCTCTTCTTCCAGCCCAACATATGTGGATTTAAGATGGTCTGTTCTGGATTTGTAGGGTAGTAATAATTTCCATTTCCTGCTGGAGTCGGCAGGATTCTTCCCTCCATGTTGCCCCTCTTCTCCTCAGTGGAGGCTGTAGGCAACAGACTGGGGACTTTTTGATGTTAGGAGATTAATCTTTTGCTCCCTCGGTGATATTTTTGTGTAGGGGACTTATAACTATTTTGTTAGTGCTGCTTGGATGGGGTGAGAGAGGCTAGCATCATGTTGGCATCTTTCTCCAGTGTGCATGGGTTGTATGACCTCTTGGAAGTGGTCAACACCTTTGCAACACCTTTTTGCATCTCTAGCACCATGACCTACAATCCTGAGTTCCAGTCCTTTAGGTGATGGTCTTGTTGGCCATTATGAAGGACGCTGCAGAGGCTTTTGATTCATTGTTTGGGATGGGAAATTGTCATCTGTCTTCCTGGCATTACCCTCCTTGACTCATTAAGAGGATTGGGTACTTTATGGCATATTGTGGAACCTTTTTCCTGTCTCAAACATTTTTTTAGATTTTTTAATTTTATTTGGACAAGTTGGGTGCTTCTTGACAGTTGGCAAAATTTTCTGATTCTGACCAT